ACAATTTGTTACATACCTTCCTCTAGTAATTACACGGGAAGTGTCTGTTCATAATCTATGCTGAAAACAAAGTATTCATAGTAATTATTTTAAATTCCATCTTCCACCATAAGCCTACAGAGTAACAAGAATTATTCTTGAGATATTCATAGAGAAAGTCCTTTCTTTTATGTTATTTCTGGTAAAATATAATAATATGATTAGGGAGCATTATAAAGTAGTCCATTCTGTGCTGTTTTTTTTAAAAGTATTTGAGATTTTCATTTGAATTAATTTGACTAATTTGACCAACATTTTTTACATTTTTTACAACTTCAAGAGCAAAAATGTTTTTTTCTTGTCATTTTAATACATACTTGAATGTATAAAATTGTTAGCTCTCGTGCATTAGAAAAAAAATGTCACACACCATGTGAAAACCTGACATAATTCGTTAACAATACAAGCCCATAGCATTTACAGCAGAAACTCCACATGCATTTCAGCAGCATTTAGTGTAAGGATAAACAAACAGATCTTTTTTTTTACGGATGATGTGCCTTGTTGGTCAGGTTGAGTGTTTTATCCCCAGAAGAGGTGAAGAACTGTCTGGTGTTACAAGGGTTTCTGAGTGCTTGTGAAGTACACAAGATGCATGTCTACTAATATACCCTCTGTATAGAGTGTGTGTGTGTGTGTGTGTGTGTGTGTGTTTGTGTGTATCGTCTCTTTCTCTGGATTATTAATTATTAGATCTTTGGGTGAGGAAGGAAAGAATATTCTTAAGTCAAAGGATCTGCTGCATGGCTCTTAATGATAGAGGGAGACGAGAGGGAATCTAAATATAGACTGAAACAAAAGCAAAGTATGTTCAGTACAGTATGAGAAAGCCCTTAATGAAAAGCAGTAGTGAGCTCACAATTCACCAACGTAGTTTCATGTAATAACAGTCAAAAACTAAATCATTAAACAAAGGCCAGACTTTAAATCAACAGGCTTCTTGTTCCTTTTACAAATTAAGTCCAACTGGGTCACTGTCATCTTTTCCTTGAATTTCCAATAATATTTTGGATTCTCAGTCCAAGCTAAGCCTGCTAATGGTTCAGTGTAGTCCGTTCTCATATATAGAATTCCTAAATAGGCCACAGAATCTGTACTCAGTTTTTTTGCTATAACTGCAGCCCACACAGCCATATCGAACACACCATGCTTGCGAACACATGTGTTGTTTCGCTGCGGCCTTTAAAGTGTGAAGAAAGAAAAAGCTTTCACATTTTCATGACTCCTCGATCAGCGAAGATGCATCCCACAGACTCTGACACCTCTGCTTCACAATGGAGTTTATGTTGTGTCAGGTTCCCCACAGACTCTGCAGTCTATCTGTGGGCCAGGGGAGCTGGGGAATCCCTGGAGAAACACACAGCTGGGAGGTTATTGAATTTGAAGGGAAAAGACAGCATTGGGAAAAGGACAGGATAGTGTAGGCACACTGGAGAAAATGACTGCACTATAAGCGTGCAAAGGGAGACATCCATGTACAGTACAGGGAGAATATTATACTTTCCAAACAGAAAACAGGTTTTTGTCTTTTCTTTTTAATACTCTATACAGTTTTGAATTACATGGGGATTTCATGTTGATAGACATACCTACTATGGATATGGTTGCAGTACGCTACAAGGGCTCATACTGTCATTTTAAAATTCCACCTTTTCTAATTCAAAATGACCCTACTCCATCACATTATATTCATGCCATCACAGAATACTCTAAATGTATTTGCATTTGAGCATTTCTCTTTCATCTTTAGTGCATATTAATGTGTTCTTTTCTGCTGCGTACACACTCTTGCCTTCATATGAACATTACCCTTTTTAAACACAGCAAGAAAAAGACAATTTCAAAGTCTCCTCTACGCATTCATTATGTTTGCTCACTATCAACACAAGCTGAGAAACAGCAAAAAGCTGCAAAACACAGATATTATTAATCTGCCTAAAAAATTGTCACCTCAAGGTGCTACAGAACATTTGGTTTGATATCTTTTCCTTTGCTTTGGGTTACAGAAAATACTACAATGTAACCATAATATACTGTAGCTGTCTTTTCCACTGCTATTTCAGTGTACAGGCCTTTAAACATTACGTCCAAGGAGTCTCATGGGGACTGAGATCTCTAGAGACCAGAGTACAAGCCAAGTACAATTACATTCAAGAAAATTTCTTTGCATAGTGCCCCCTTAGACATTTCATATACAATCTCCCTGCCCAAATATTTTATCCAAATTCACTGTCATGGTTCATAGCTGATGCATTTGTTATTACATGAATCCCTTGAGGTTGTTGTTTCGTAATGTGGGTTGGACTTGTACTGCGCAGTGGACATCTGTGATAGTCTTTACAGTTTCACCTCACCTCGGGCTTCAAAGTAAGTTTAAAAATATCAAATATGGAGCATGCAGATTAACTGAACAGAATACAACACAGTGAAGTCCAATTCTGTCAACCCTTTCAAGATAAGAACTACTGATGATGTTGTATTGATGAAGCTCTGTGCCCTGCATATTCTCAGCCAGCGTAAAAATAAGTTAATCCACTGCACCTGGAGATGTAAGCAATTCAACCCAAATGCACTGAGTTACTTTTACACCTGCCTTGCATGGAAAATGTCTAACTATTCACTAAAAAGAACCAATTTGTTTGTTTTCCTTTTAACTATTTGTCAGATTTGCAAATTCACAACATGTGCTAATAATAAAAAATGGCAATGCGGGTTAATGTACAATTACGCTAATGTAACATGATGGACCATTTGATTTATTATGGCGGTCGCTATGCTGTAGTGATTACAGGGCATAATAGTATTGTGTTGAATTTGTTAGATTAATATGACTGTACTTCTACTGCCGTCCCTCTTAATCAATTTGTTATTAGGATTTCAATCAGCAGAGATTAATAGATCCGTAAAATTAATTCCTAAAAAAATCTTTAAGCCCACCTCTAGCATAATGATACGATTCTGTATTGTTTTTAATAAAGTTAATAATTTTTTACAGTTCAGGAAATCAGTTTTATGTCTTTACAATATCTGCTAAATATTCGGCTGTCTAACAGTTCTCTTAGATTTTCAGGGACCTTTATATAACAAGCTACCAGCTATTAGAATTGCGCACATTCCAGGTGTAAGATGCCATTGTGTCCAACCATTACCTTAATTTGAAAGCATGTTTCCTGTCTCCTAAATAAAGTGTGGGGGAAAATGATACAGTCACAACAAAATACAGTGTAAACACAATTATTGTTTAGAGTTTTTTTCATTTTGTTTTATAAAATTTCACGCAATAACTTATTTGAAACATCATCATGTTAAACTTGTTAACTCATTTCTCATTTAGTTAGTTGTGGTGCTCTGCAGGATGAAATCACAACAAAGAATGAAAGTGGTATATGTTTCTAAAAGCAGAATAACTCCTTACAGCAGGTGTAAAATTGAAGTCAC